GAAAATTCTTAGATGGTTCTATCTTTTTAAGTTATATATTAGTGTGAGTTTTTCCCCCTGATCTGGTTATTGTCTACCCCTCCCACTCTATCTACTGTCCCCTCTTGCTTTGCTTTTCAAATTTAGCCTTCCAGGTACCTCTACATAGTGCTCTGTAACTTTGTGCACACTGTCCTGCCTATAAGGTCTTTCCTGCATTTGTTTGGCTGCCATACTTTAAGACCTACAAGAGTCATTACCTCCTCCAAATAGTCTTCCCCTCAGTAATTAGGTACTCCTCTGCACAGAGTACTGGGCACATCTATCATTGCACTTATCACATTATCTTATTAAATTAACAGTGAATGTTTCTGCTCCCCCTACCAGTCTATGAGAATCTTGGGTTATCTTTGCATCCACAAAATCAAACTAATTTTTCTAATCAAAGGATACAACTTAGGCCAGCATATTGATAGTGTTCAAAAAATTTTTGTTGAATACTTTTATATGCTCTTAATTAATGGCTCCAAAGTGCACCAGAAACTTCCCTGATGGGCTAGGGCTTAATGTGTTTAAAAAAAACAAAACAAAACAAAACAAAAACCTAGGTCTCCTAATCTAGGTGGGATCTGGGATTTTTATTAGACTATGATTAGTACAGCAGGGAAAACCTGGAAAGAGTCCTTAAAAAACCCTATTGGGATAACCTCAACTCAAGCCATTTTCTCTTTACCCAGAGATGATTGCTATGAATCTTGGTCTGCAAAGGACATGGCTTGATTTAATACAGTTTACCCTAGAGGCAGAACAGCAAAGAAAGAATTCTACTAATTTTATTATAGTCTCTGGGTGCTTCTCCCTGATAATCTAAAGGGAGGTTTGGCCCAGAGCAGCATGCTTATGGCCCCATTTACGTTTAAAGGTCTCTTCCTACTTGATTCTCTGACTATTGGAGGCATGTATAGATTTGTTATCTGGTGGTTAGTCATATCAGAGGCTTTGGTTCTTTACTCATAGCTGTTAGTTGAATTGCACTGCAAAAAAAAAAAAAAAGAAAAAAGAAAACATTGTTCCAGAAATTTGCTGAGCCTTCTTTGGAGCAAGTTTCATACACTGTTCTTGAGAATAACTTGTATTTTGTTTTATCACTACCAGTCTTATCAGAATTGCCTAGCTAATTTTTCTGATCAAGGTATACAACTTGTGCCAGCATAGAACACCTGCTTTTGAAATTACAGTTAAAGGTCTGGGCAAAACTAAGTGAAAAAAAAGAGGGCCCCTATCCTTTCCTGTAGTTTAGAACATGGACTACCCTCATACCTGTTCTGTGTTGTCACTTCTCACTCATTATTCAAAAATGAAAGATAAGAGAAAAAAGTAATTTATGATAAAATATTACTCATTAAAAAAGAAATCTAAAAATTAAAGACAGCTATAGCAAAAACACAATCTAAGCAAACTGGGAAAATCACCAGAAAGGGCTCTCCAAGACATTTTGTCTAAATGTTAAATAACTAAAAACATTAAAATATGTCTGGCATGGCAGTATGAGGTCTGACTCAGAGCTAGCTTCTTAGTAAAAAGAAATGGGAAGTGACGATTAAGGCCCCTATAAAATAACCCAGGTTGGAAAATGTGGAGGTTAGAGATATTCAGCTTATAGCTTCAGAAGAAACATTCACATTATTTACTCCTGTCTATGGCCCTAAAAAGACAAAGACTTGAGGATCTTTCCAGGGGAAGTCTTCCTCCTTATCTGACTCAAACCCTAAGAGTCAGAACCATTAATCACCTAGATTCCAGTCAGAGGACCTTTGTAAATTCCACATCTCAAGTACTTAGACTCATTACATATACTATAAAATTTTAACTGAAAATATTTTGGTTAAGAGATTTTAATTTTTTATTGAAATCTAGAGGGAGAAGAATAAAAAGGCAAAACTATAACAATTGGATTAAAAGATCATTTAAAATGATCTGTTTGGATATGGTTGCAAACAACTCACAAGTTTTAGGTCTCCAATTAACTTAATTAACTTAGTATTTACCCTCTGCCTGCTTCCAAAAAGAATCCAAGTTTATTTCCAAAGAATCAGTTTGGCTTTTATATCTAGGCCGTTGAAGTATGTATGATTTATCATTTAGTACATTATGTTTTGATGTATATTTTATGACAACATACCTTTTCCCCTAATCTTTGGGATTGTGTTGTGCATTAAGAGAAGGCAAAGTTAGGCTGCCACAGTTTGTATGTAATCACGTTATATTATACTTACAAACATGGGGCAAGACATTAACATTTTGAACAATAGGCAGAAGAATATAAAAGCTAGTTTATTTGGAAAGAAAAGTGCAGGAAAGATTTAGCTGAGTCATTTGGAGTTAAGAATAAAAGGGAGAAGGCAATGATGATTTAATCCTTTTTCTTCTCTCTCTATTAAGGATATTTGAGTGAACAGCCAGTTATGCTCTGAACTAATTAAATGAAATAATGAATGCCTATTACATTGTCAAAATCAAAGGCAAATTTTTTATTTTTTGTATGTTTTGTAGGGGAAACCTCAAAGAGGAGAACTTAGGTCAAATACCTAAGGCCTTGGTGAACTCTGTAAGATAGTATAAGTTCACACCAACATTTTGGTTCAGTCATTCTTAGCTCTTAGAATTATTTTAGTTATCTCAGGTGATTAGACTAAATAAATTCCTTACTGTAACATAAATAGGAGAATATGTACAACTTAGTTCTGATGTAGGGTCTTCCTTAAAATCCTCTCTCCTTGGGATCTTTTTCGGAACCAACCTTTTCATGAAATGTGTATCTTTTTAATTTTACTGTAGCCTGATCTTTGGCATTTGTTTTGATTGATATTTTATTCATCATGCAAACAATATCTCCCTCTAAACTTGCTTGCAATATATAGTCTGGTTGCTTGTCATGCAAGCCCAGTCAGAATATGCAGTTTGGTGTTTCAGCCAAATTTGGTCACTTCCTACATTCTCACAGTTGCTGGTCAAACACTTATGGTGACTGTCAGACTCCTTTGTAGTTAACTTTCTGATGAGACATACTGAGTTAACCTTCAATGGACCTTCCCCTTCCAAAGTACTGTTAATTTTACAATACAGTTATAAATCTTACTATTCTTCAAAGCTCATATTCTGAAATCACCTTAACTTGGTATTACAATCATGCATCATGACCTCAAATTACTTACCCTCTTTAAGCCTTATTTGTTAGTTTTTTCAACATTTATTGAACAATGTGTAATAGGCTCTGGGAATAGGAAGTGAATGTGATAGCCAAGGTTTTCTCATCTGTAAAATGTGGCTAATGACAGAGCTGTTTTGAGGATAAAATGTATGTAACATACTTAGCATATTGCTCAATAAATGTTCATTGTTATTAGCAGTATTATTTTGATAAAGTTACTTTTAACATCTCCCTATGACTGTAACCTCTAATGATTCACAATGGATTTGCATTCACTCCATTTCTGAACATAAAGCTACTCTATAAATTACTGATGCTAAAAATTATCTTTTCTAGAAAAAAAACTGATGCAATGTTCTGAAACTCCATTGGAATGTAAGCACTCCAAAATGCCTTTCACACCTGATTATCTAAAAATAACTGTAAATAACAACCATGATCTGGATTGTGAATGAAAGGTGCTATACCGGTACCCTCTGAACCTAGACCTGTCTAAATAATCTAAATTTCTTCCCGTGTACTTTTAAGTTTGGATTAGAAAAATAAACAAGCGTACACACGGGCCATCTTAAGTTTTACTTGGTTTGTATCACTAGCCTGAAAACATCAAAATATTTTAACTACTGTGGTTTTAGTTCTTTTTAGGTGTGGTGGGGGATGGATGTCAACTTAAGTCAGTTGAGAAAAGTGGCGATTCTGCAGCTCATGCGATACAACTAGAGAAAATGGGTCACTGCAGGAACTGGCAAAACCAATTGACATTATTGAAATGGTTACAGAAATAAAAAGAGTTTCTCTTTTACTCAACGGGGCTATTTAAGAATGACAAAGAGAAAACATCTTTAATGGTGGTAGAGAGTTTGCATCTATACTTTCTAGGATTATTTGTCATTTAAAGTGAAGTCTCATTAGGCAAACTCTTTTACTAAGGGTTGCACAGTAGCCTTTGTAAGATTTCTGAAGAACCTGAGTTTTGAAGAATCATGTTTACAATTTATCACTCATTTTAAATCCCAGGGTTACCCCTCAGTTCTTATATAAGATTATCTGAAAACAAAAGGACATCCCCTAAAATAGGTACTGGACACTCTCGGCTTTGAAGGAGTTGGCCGAAAACCCGGCACTGAGCCCTTCAAAAGGCACGTGGGGCCGAACCTGTCTCGGTATCACCACGACCAGCCCTGCAGGCTCCACGCCTGACTTCCCAGGCCCGGGGCACCACCAGGGGCGGTCCGACAGCACGGGCCCTCCTGCCTCGTCATCGCTGCGTTTCTGGCTGGCGGAGCCGGTTCTCGTCCGCGGCATTCCACGCCCCCGTCTCCGCAAGCGTGCACGGGGCTCGGGAATCACCTCGGAAGCCCACTCAGCCGCAGGGAGGGCGTGAGCGAGGAAAGCCCGGGCTCTCGCTGTAACCCCCGCGCTCGGCGGTGTCCCCCTCCCCTTGACGGCGGGGCCATAGGTACCTCCTCAGCCGCCTGAGCATTCAGCGTTCAACTGGTGGGCGGCCCGTCCCGCAGCCGCCACGTCCGCTCAGAGGCCCCACCGAGCAGCCGGCAACTGACTGACTGACCCTGGGGCAGGGACTCGCGCCGACACCGCTGCGCACGCGCTCCTAGCGCGCCTCTATCCCGGGGCGGCTCGCCGGGCGGGAACGCGAATCTGTGAGCCACTCGCACCTGCCTGACTGACAGGCAGACCCCGGGCTCGGGCCTCGTGCCGGAGCGCGCACGCGCCTCGCGCGCCTGCCGTCGGCCCCGGGGGCGGGACCGCGCGGCGGCGAGCGGGCGGGGGGCTTGTGGCGCGCGCGCCCCGCACCCGAGGGCTGCGGAGAGATATTTTGGGTGGCAGGAGGCCCCTCGTCATTTCCGCCGGGCAGCTTGTGGTGCCCCGAGCTTCACTCCCGCGCGCGAGGCGAGCGGGCAAGTTGGTTGCAGGCTTGCGGCCGCGGCTTCTTTTCTCAGCTCCTCGACCCTCGGCAGTGCAAGCCGTGAACTGAAGCCCTGGAGGGACGGAGACCGGAGCGGAGCGGCGGAGCAACAGCTGCAGCAGCAGCCTCTGCGGGGAGCGTGCAGAGAGTCCGCACAGAGCCGCGACCCCAGAGCGTTTCTCTCCCCGTCGCCGCTCCCGCCGCTGCTGTTCGCCGTTTGCTAAGAGACATTGCAGCCGCGAGACCCGACACACAAAAGCCGTCTTCTTGCCACCCGCCCAGCGAGGCAGCGGCCAGCAAGGGACCCCACCTGAGGGCGGCTCGGGCTACCGAGTTCGTTTTGTTTCTGATCTCCGCGCCCCGCGCGGTAGCGACCCCGTGTCCATGGCTCTGATCATGGAACCCGTGAGCAAATGGTCTCCGAGTCAAGTAGTGGACTGGATGAAAGGTAATGCCCGCTGTGCAGAGGGCGAGGCGGTCCTGGGGCGCCGGGGTACTGGCGCGCGAGAGGGAAGGGGCGCCTACTGCGGCCGAGCCCGCCATCGGGGCTTCCACTGGCTGATCGTGGTGCGCTGGGGGGGAGGCGGAGGTCCTCCGGGGCAGGCTGGGGCTCGGGATCCCGATCTCCTATTGTCTTCAGTGGTGGCTCCCCAGTTAGAGAGGGGCGCGGAGAGCGCGGGTGTTGCCGGCGCTACGGGATAGGGTTAGAAGGCGGGCCGCGGAATCCCAGTACCTCTCGCCTCCTCCCCGCTCCTCACGGCGCCCCTAGGCCGAGAGGACGTGGCGACCCTTGTCTCTCCCCTCAGGGAGGAGCCCCCAGGGACCTGCTCCTTTGCTCGTTCCTTCCCGGGCCCCTTTGTTCCTGGGAAACCTAACGCCCCCTCGGTGGCCGCCCCTGCCAGGTGCTTTTTCCAGCGCCAACTCTCCCTACAACTTTTAAGCCCATATAATGGGGTCAGGACGCGGCTGCCCGGGTTTGAGTCGGGCGAACTCCCCCAGTTTGGGCTGAGGATGCTCGGGGGATGCGCTACTTTGGGGGAGAGAAAAACATGCTTCCCCTGGGACAGCATCCGCGCTGGTATCTGCGGGCTCCCTCCTGCGCAAACCCCTGTTCCCCCACCCCCACCCCCCACGTCCTTTGCCTCTTCCTCTTCTCGCTGGTCGAGGCTTTGGATCTCATGGTTTTTTATTGGGGGCTCGACGCCAGGTGTAAGGTGATGCGCATTCAAGTGCCCCCTCATTTCTTCCATCTTGAAGGCTCGCCCCTTTTTTTCCCTGGCAATTTCTAATAACCACAGTTGTAGATACTCGCCCTCCTAGTCTCAAACGTGGGCTTTTTCTTTAGTCCCTGGGCTTTCCTGCCTCACTATCTCCCTCTGTTGTCTGAGTTAAGGGGCTTGTAGAGGATTCCCCCCACCCCATGACCACTGCCTCCCCCATCACCAAGATTCCTAAGATTTGGGGAATGCCAACAGGGATGGATGGGATGAAATAAAGGATTCCTGGCCACACTTGGGAGATGTTAGAGCTTTGCTTGTGGTTATTCCTAGGCACAAACTCTAGGTAGATTAGTCAGGAGCCAAAGGCTTATCATTTGTGAAAATGCGTGTTGCGGAGATGAGGGAGCCCCTTTTGGGGGCTTGCTTAGCAGGCAGACTTTCTAAGCTCCAGGTACTTTAGAACGAAAGGTGGGGTGATTGGAAGTGATTAAGAGTGACAGAGAGAAACTCAATTTTGTTTCCTCCTTTTCTGAACCTTTTCGGCCTCTTGCTTATTCTTACGGATTTTTCTTTATACATTTGCTTTCCTTTTATTCCCTTACTGGCCCCTTTATTTCTCATTTAATTAGTTTTTTCTTTTCTAATATGTGAAAAGTGCTTCGTAACTGCAAATCACAGTACACATGAGAGTGTATTGAATTAAGTAGAATTAATTATCAACTGCTCCCCTGTGTGTGGTGCGTTGTGCTAAGGTGCCATGGGTGCCATGACTAAGACAAAGTCCTGCAGTGGCTCATTTTTCTGTTTCTTCTCTTCATATTGGCTATTGAAATTATGCTTTCCTAGATTCCCACTAACCCCCACCCCCCTTTGGATTGTCAGAAACAAACATCTGTCTTCTCTGTTTCTCAGTCATGGAAGAAAGAGCCAGGCGGTGCGCAAGAAGCAAGAATGCTTAATTAAAAAACCCTTTCTTTGAATTTGCGTAAAAGGTTACTTTGGTTTGAGTCTGTTACTGAAATACTCAACAGAAAGCTTTCTTGGCTCCATGGGAGTCTGATTACCTTCACAAATTCCCATGATGCTTGTAGTGAGTGATGCATACTCCATCTTCTTCACCTCCACCCTCCCAGTATAATCTTACAGTTTCTTCTTTCTCTACAGTTTAGGTCTACTGAAGCAAGTAGAACATACGACACATATATTCTGACACACATTATTAGATTTCCAGTATAGTAGTCCTTTAAAAATCTTTCCAGCCCTTTAAAAATCTCTCCAGCCTAAAATGCAGCATCTTTGAAGTTGAGCTAACATTGTTAGCTGTGATTTTAAATGATTGTTACGTGTAAGTTGAATAATTTATTTTCATACCTGTTGGTGATTCATGTTAGAGCTATTTGAAAAGATCAAGCAAGTAGCCAAGATAGAATTTGTATATTTTTGTACACATTAGAAGAGAAAAACTGATGTCATTATCTGGATATTTCAAATCCCAAACTGCTTACTGCTGAAATTTCTATAATCTTCATATAAATTTAATTTAAGATAGTAACAGAAAACAAGATTTTAAAGAACAGTTGGACAAAATGAACATTTCCTCAACTTGTAATTATACTGTTACCTTAATTAATTTTTCCTCCCTACTCCTTTCCCCAAATAAACTTTACAAGTAAACACATTAAAAAGAAAAAAAACTTCTCACCCTTTCCTCAGATGCAGTAATGTTTAAAAGTCAACTAATTGAGGCTGTAGCTTTGGAATGGCCAAACTTCCTTTGGTGTTGTATAATGTATAGTGTTATAAAGGCAGTAACAAAGAATGAACAAGACTTTTGAACAACTGCAACATTGTGGGAGTTCTTCAAAGCATGCTCCTAATGTGACAGTTTCATCATCCTTAACATTTAAAGTATATAGCATATGCTTTCAGCTAGTCACAATCATAAATAGTTATAACTCTGTTTAGTAAGGTACATGCTTTATGCTCTTTCTAGGGTGTTTTTCTCTTCACTAAACAGAAAAGGAAACATTAAGCATATAAAAATAGCATGGCCATATATTTGTGCTTCCAGACAATTTATATAAGTGATATAGAAATTCAGCAGAGAAGGAGATGAAGGAAAAAAAAGGGCTGATGAGATTATTAAGCTTTGTTAACATATATTCAAAACTGTTTATGAAGGACCATTTATACATTGCAATTCATTTTGATCTTTTTTACTAAAATGTATTTGAGGGAGGCAAATTTAAATTTATGTATTAATTATTAGTAAAGATATAAGGAAACACTTGCATTTTTTCCTCACCACCAACACCACTACTTGTAAAATCCAATACTCAATGAATTTTCTTCCAACAATAAAAAATTGATGTGACACAGTGTCAATGTTAGTTCCAATAAATATATGGACTCCTCATGAGTCAGTAAAATAAGCAGTTACATTCCAGATATCTTGATAGTACTTCAGGCTATTTGGAAATAATAGAACTTCAAAATTAATTTTATAAAAATATTTTTTGAGAAAATCAAATACACATCATTTAGCATTTGAAACAGCCTTTTTTTCAGTAGGAAATTGCATTCAATCCTTGTAGTTTTGACAAAATTATAAAATGTAAACCTTTTTAGAGTAAAAGCAAAGCCTTTATTAGAGAAAGCTGTAGGTAGAAAAGTAGGCCAATAACGGTTTCTGATTTTTGCTCAGTGTATTACTCTAAAATACATCATATCTCAGCTCTTACCTATTCACTTGCAGGGCCTATAGAAACACTCCATAATCTACAGTTGTTTGAGTTTACTTTTTTGCCCACTGAAATAAAGCAAAAATGTCTGAACACTTCAGGCCCCTATTATTAATTTCAGTATTAATTTTCCTTGTCCGTGTCACACCCAATAATTCCAGTTTTCTTCTCACAGTTTTTCCAACTTTGAAACTCCTCCAAAATATCCATATGACTAAAATAAAGTTATTTTCTGTGGCTAACTCCCTTCATGACATTTTTTCCAGTGATCTTTAATCCCTTCCCTGATCAAATAAAATGAATTATTGTTTTCAGAGTCACCAACAGGCCCTGCTTTGCTGGTCTTCTCTTATGGTCTCTGTGACTTAGCTCTTTCTACCCATAGTATGAGTCCTAAAATCTAAATTTTTAAGATAGTCTTTTCTCAAACCATCCAACAATTAACTGCACTGCTCTTTTCTGTTTACTATAAACCATTTTCTTTGAAAACCATTCACTGACTTCTACTTTCTGTCCTGATGACTCAGCCATCTTGAGGATAGAAAATGAAATACATTATTTTAGGTACAAAAAACAAAGATAAAGCCATCACTTTGCATACAACCCTACAAAAGAGGAAAATGCAGTGATGAAATAAGGTCTATTTATTATAAGAGTTAAATGCTACAGAGGAGAATGTATCTGATAAGATACAGAAATTTTGACAGGCACAGTGCTCTCTAATAGTTTTACCCCTTTCATAGGACCTAGAGCTGAGGTTGAAATTTATTTTATTAAGATGAAGGAAAATGTCCAATTTTTGAATTAAACTGTCTTAGGAAAAATTTTCTGGCAGAAACTTGAGAAGTATGCATTGTAAAAAATATGTTAAACTTACATGATCAAACTAGTCCTATCATTTTTGAAAAATTAGTTGCTTTCCTCAATTGCAGTATGACTAGATAGTCACCAACAATCACCTACTCTCGATTTGACATTTTTTGAAACTCAATACTTGTCATTTCACACAAAGAAGAAATTCACCTTTTCTGTATGTAGAGTTTACAGGAAAATATCATTTTATTTATACTGTCATTAACATTTACTCCTTAAGGTAACACTCATGATTTAGTACAGATTAGGAAAAAAGAGTCTATTTATGTAGATACATTCTGGTGCTTAGAGATTGTTTACTCCATACTTCTACATGGAAGGGGCTTTAATGGATTATTTTAAGTAAATTATTCTCTGCTTTGGGGAAATTAGTCTCTGTAAGGGATGGCAGTGACGTTGAGAAACCTAAGCCAAAACAGACAGGTGCCAACTAGAACATTTGCTAAATTTAAAAAATGTTTGCATTATGTGTACAAGCACCAGTGGAAAGACAAGATGATGCTTTTAATCAGTCAGGAAGGAATCCATGGGGAAGGTGGGGTTTTAGCAACTTTTTATGCAATTTATTTAACTAAGGCATATTCTAAGATGGATGTAGTCTAAATATAAAGGCA